TGTAAAGGATGTACTCGACCAACACGGATCAGCTACACATTTTTGTGATTAAAAATTCATTTAACGTTCACCTAGCACAATTTCTGCCTACAGTCTTTTTTAAAAATGTATGAAAACCAGAGCAAATATTTCGAACGATGAAGTTTTTGTAAGGAAAATTTTTGTTCAGAAACGCCTTACATCTCTTCCAAGTCAGAATAATGAGATTGCGTGACGAAAAAATACGTCTCTACACAATACGTAATAGTAAGACACAATCGCTTTACTTTTGGCATTTTTCATCCGAAGAAGCACTGCTCGAACTTACAGAGGCACATAATATAATAGAGAAGTTTGTAAAAAAAATTTTACTCCAGAAGAATATCGCCGGTTTAATACATATCCAAGCGAGCATCCGAACACGAGTGCCCAGGCAGAACAAAACAACCAATAAGGTTAATAGACAAATGTAGAGATAAATATATACGCACGGGATGGTTGAACAAAAAATAGCAGCGCGCCGTATGCATTCGCTTCGCTTCGAGTTTCTCGTCCAAAATAAAATAGAAACAGGCAAGTAGAAAAATATGTTTACACACGCGTACGTGTACTGTACATACAGGGTAGTACCGGGTAGATAAATGTGTGTAACCTTGGCGCACTACTGCCTATATGCACTATGTATGCGTAACGTATAAAGTTTTACTTTGTGTGTGCGCGCGCGCGTTTTCTATAACATTTTTTATCACGCGGCGGCGTAGGCGGCAGCGGTACCGCTGGTGGTGTTTTTTTTTTACACATTCTGCGAGGTAAGATATCGCATATGTATATATATATGGCAACGTTTCAGCCCGCTTGATAGACAACGGAGGAAGAGTTTGTACAAGAAAACAGATAGATCTGGCAAACAAATTTGCTCAAAGTATACTACTGAAGAGGGAAAGAGGAAAGAGTGGTATGGGGTTGTATACTTTATCATAGAGTGTATGATGCACGACTGGGAGGGGATGGGGATAGTGTAGTATAGCCAAGGCCGTTTGGCACAGGCTGACAAGAATGGCGAATTGTGCAAAGAACGAAGGACTTTCGCGCGATACAAACTTCAAGATGCAATGAATAAGTTTTCGCGCGCGCGTACGCACGCACGCATACATCATTATTATACTGCGGAGCGCGCCAATCACTTGGACGCAAATGGAGCAACTTTTATTGCGAATTGCATAAATGTTGTTCAACATCAGGAAGTGCGTAAATGTATTTTTCGAGAGTACAGATAGGTGACGTACTCTTCAATTTCGTTGGAATTCATTGAAGCCAATTTAAAGCTTATAAAAAACTTTTAATAAAAACATCATTGAAATTTTGGGAAAACGTACGCAAGTTCGTAACACGCGTGAGTTTACGGCCCGTATATCTTGATAAAGAAAAAATAAAGGCATCGTTAAAAATCGTGGCTTACCTTTTAAAATTCTTTTGCTTTTTTTCGGTTGACTTTATGTATTTATATGCTCGCACGCACTGCATCTGTTTACGCAAACTTTTAGCTTGATTAAAAGGGTACATCGTCAGTAATTAAGGTAATGGCGTGCACATGATGAGGAAATTTTTGTTCAGATATTTTTAATCACCTGGAGTTGAAAAGAGAGAAAACTCGAGAAATCCGTAAGTAAGTAGGTTGAATTAGTTCCATGGCAGTGCAAATAAGCGATCCATCCTTGAAAATTCGATGGACTCGAGTTGAAATCGATCCATTCAGTGATTTTCTTTTTCGGTACTCGACGTATAATTAACAAAAAGTGTCGATTAATGCTCTTAGTCTTTTTTTTGTTCGAGTAAAACATTTAATCGTCTCTATTAAAACTTGAAAAGCAAAAATCGCCTGAAGCTATTGCCGAGTAGAATCATAATTGAGCCGCCGAGTCGAGCTTGGGAGCATAACTTTCGACAAATGTCCGTGACATTGTATCGCGCGCCCGACTTGCCCTGGCGCGCAGCGAGAGAACGAAAGGTGACATTAAAACCTACGCTACTGTACAGCTACAGTAGTAGAAACAGCAGCAGCAGCAGCAATAGTAGTAGCAGTAGCAGCTAGTCCTAGACTTCTTACATCCTGCAGCCAGCGGTATTATAGCTTGCCCAACGGCTCAATTCAAGAATATGTATCAAGTTTCGCAGTATAGTGCGCGCACGGCACAAGTCGTCGACGTCGACATTATAATCTTATACGTTGCATACATATATACAGAGCAGAGAGCTACATCCAAGTTTCGGGGACTGCAGAGCGTATATATAGACGAGCTGGCTGCACCGGCGCTACTGCGAGCGTCACAGTTTTCGGAGGAGGGTGAACGTCTTGGTGGCGCGCAGCAGTTAAATTCTCTTATACGCGCGCACAGGCAGCTAAACACAAGCAGCTGCACGAGCCGCTCGCGAGCTACAATTATATTCGTACGGGTTATACATCATTCGCTCTCGCTCTCGGTGAATATTTAAACGTGACTTTTCATGGAGTGAAGCGCCACTACTACTACTGCGCCGAGGCTCGAGCGAACCTCTTCCTCTTGCCGGCTATACGCCGCCTCGCTCTGTGCGCTTTATCTCGCCTCTGCGCGCTGTGCAGAGCTTAGAGCAGTGTGCGTTATATACCTGCGTATAATATTGTCTCGCTCTCTGTCTTGCATCGCTGAGAGATGTTTAAATACGAGAAACTACGCCGTGAACTCAATTTTACTGGCGCGCGTCGGAAAATGTCTAAGTTTTCGCGACACGCGCGTATGCACATACGTGCATAATGGCGCGACGGAGCGATGACGAAGATAAATAAAAATGATTCTAACACGCGCACCCCTGTCTGGACGCGATTAATTTCATGTTAGCAATTTTTGTAAAATATTTTCACGACGCTCTCGCGTACACAGTTATTGCATTCATGAATGAGCTAGAGCGGAAGAAAACATCGAAACCGAGCAGAAATAATTGCATGTTTATAAAAAAGAAGAGGGAAAAAAATGAAATTTAATCATTTTAACATCTCGCTTCTTACTTGCAGGAAAAAGAAGGAGCAGAGAAGGGAACAACGCAAGCGCGTGGAGAGAGAGAGAGGGAGTGAGTGAGAGGGAGTATAGGATGGGAAACATTTTCTTTTCTTTTTTTTTTTTTTTTCGTTGCACGTCAGACAAAAAACAGTAGTAGGTAGTGTAAAGCTAAAAGCGAACGGCGCTGAACAAAAAGTCTGTTGGCACGAAAAAGCATTTGGTACGTGGGTGTTGGGTGTATACGTGTGTTTGTACGCGTACACATATATATATACCTCGCTAAAGGTTAAAGTAAAGATTGCTGAAAGCAGATGTTCTTTCGCCGGTATAAGTACTAACTGCGTGCGCGCCCCCCCCGAGAAAGTTGCCTCCTTTTTTACTGCTGCGCGCTTACTTTCGGCTCATTTCCGCCCTAACTTTGCATGTCGTTATACGTGCACACGTAGCCGGCTGTGTGTACACACAAAACCCTTCAAAACACGGGCTCGCGCGCGCACACAAGAAATGGTTTCGAGCCTTTTCGCCGCGACTAGGACAAATGGCCCGATGCACACACACTGATTTGCGTAATGGCGCGCGAGCGTGGAGAACTTTGATTTTAATCTTTGCATGCTAACTCTTTATATGGTACCTCTCTGGCAATTTATTCCTTTTATTTCACGGATTTTTCAACTAAACCGACGTTGCTGCTCAACCTACGTGTATTTATATGTACACGTACACGCACGAAAATTCATAAAAATTACGAAAAAAGCCAATCTCAGGAAGAGAAAGAGAGAAAGAGAAAAAAATCTTTTTTTTATGGACATCATAGGGAAGAGAATTTAACTGGCATTCCAATGCAATATTCATCGATGCGCCCATTATACCACAAAAGGGTACATCGTTTATTTACTCTTTATTCTGCTTTGCGCTCTCTTTTGAATTCAGAAAAGCGCATAACCTTCTAATAATTTTTTTTTTGTCACTCTTTCTCTTTTTGTTTATACATGTAAAAAACGGAAACTCTTGCGTGTCGCGTATGTAATGCACATATACGTACGTACGCAATTCTATACCTTTACACGCGCGGCCGGGTATCGCGACGATTTCTGTAGAAATCATAAAATTGTACGACTGGCAATTCCGCGAATATAAACGCGCAGATATCGGGGAGAAACGATTTTCGCGCGAAACAATTCACGCAACGGTTGAGAACAACGTCGAACGGTATATAAGCGCGATACAGCCCGGTGCGCGCCACGGAAAAAAGATGCAATCGAATCACGCTCTTAATATACTCGTTGTATATAAACTCGAGAGCTTCGCTCCATGAGTTTATGTATCGTTTTGAATTTCAAAAGGTTTTTTTGCTCCCTTTCCTTTCTTTTTTGCTCGTTTTTATCGCGTTACGGGGCGCGCGCACGCGGCCGAGTTTCCGCGAAAACTAATGCGCGTAATTATGAAAAAGTGCACACGCTTTAATCGAGCTCCACGCGAATGAATGAATAATCCGCGCCACGAGCGCATATATCGAGCTCGCCACAAGAGCAGCAGCAGTACTCGTAATGAAGTCGTAGCGAAGCGGCGAGCATTGATCTGGCGCTGCCGCACGCGCGCGTGGCCGATATCATACGCGCGCCCGTATAATGTACGTACATACCAAACGGCACTTGTCAAAGCACTCGCGTAATGGCTCAATTGATTTTCTTCGATTCCACGCAATATCGCGCGCTCGATATGGCTTATAGGAACAAATGGCCCTACATTATTCGAGCTCTCGCGCGCGTGGTTATTTAACTCGATAAACGCGCTCGTTTCGTTCGATTAGAGCTGCCAGCTCGAGCGCTATGTATTTATTCTCCGCGGCTGTACGTATGATTGATTTCGTTATGCGCAGCTCGCTCGACTGTACACATAATTAGAGTTTAGGATAATCATCGCAGTTGCACTCTCGTACCTGGTGCGATTGCGTAGATATATATTCAGAGTATGCGAGGTACTTACCGGTTTCGAGTACGGTGTAGCGTGGATTGGTCGTGTCGATGGGCAGCATATTTTTCATCCAGGATATAATGGGAGTAGGCGAGCCCACGGCAGCGCAAGATAACAGAGCATTGTGACCTTTTTCCACGACCTTTGTCGTAGGTGCTTGAGTTATCATGGGGAAGCCTTGTGGCAGTCTTTCAGCTGTAACAAAAAGCACAGACGGCGCATTTATAATACCATATTTATATGACCGATATAAAAGCACTTGTTGCTAGTAAAACTATGAAAATTGGAAATTGTTTTTTCTCTATGTATAAAGCGCGTCAACTTATAGGGATACTCGACGCGCGAGCTATATACAGCACAGCGAAAAAAGAAAAGTCTGATGAACCGTGGAATTGTCTGTCTCGCTCTTTTCTCTCTTGGCAACGTGGAAATCCTATTGAATCCGCTCATCAATATTGTTCTGCAAGTTGGAAAGTCGCGAGAACGGCGGGGAGANGGGGGGGGGGGGCAGAATGGCTTCGCGTGCTTGCTCCCTTCGTGTGCACCGTATACATATATATAGCTAAAGATAGCCAAGTCGCGACAGTTGAAACGAGTATAAATAATGGACGTATCGAATGTTGCAGGACTTCTTTTCAATTTGAAAAATTGACCTGTATATGGAGTAAATTTAAATAATATATGTACGCTGGGGGGAAAATTGATGGCTTTTATACAGTGAGTATTTTATGCGCGATTTTGCGCGAGTTGAATCGTCGGCATTTTATAATGGAAAGCGTTGTTCGGAGTTAAGTGTAATTTTTTTTTTGAAAAATTCTTCAAATCCAGCCAACTAAAAGTTTACATTCTAGTTTGTGAGAAGTTTCAGAGCTGCATCGATCTTCGAATTCTACGAATAAATTGATTCCAAGTAAATTTTTCAAGCATTTTGGATTTTTGATTTTTGTGCAACTCGCGTAGGAGGTAATAAAACTGTCGGATAATTTATATTTCAATATAGACGCGGAACAAGCTTTAGCCGAGCAAAACCTTATGGATCATCTGCATATACATATTACGTACAGGAACATAATCGAAAACTTAGGGGCTATCAGCATCCGTAATCGGGCTAATCTCGAGTCTCTCTCTCGCTTCCCCCCTTACTTTCTGTCGGCGGAAACTTCTGCATGCGTGCTAATATTCGCCGCTAGCGCGAGCAGTGGTCCCGGGTAGAGCCCCGAAGGCTCTTTGCATGAAGCGTGTGCCAAGTAAACTTGGCCAAACTCAAGTTTGATAAAGTCTCGAAGCTGCTGTTGCGCTCAAGAAGAAGAAGAGAGAGAAAGAGAGTGAACATACGAAGACGACGAAGACGACGACGTATTGCTCGATGAAATTTTGGTTTAGGCTCGAGTGCAAAACTTTGCCTGTTTTATCAAGCGAGCAGTTTTTCGTCCTTTTACCCTCCCTTCTCCCTCTTTTTTTTCTATTTACGATCGAGTGCATTTATACATCGAATATATACGTATATACGGTCAAGAGCAGCCGCCGAACTTTCTTACCCTGCTCCTCTCGTTTTCTTCTTTTTCAATTGCTTGTATATAATATGGTGCACGTACGTGTGCAAGAGTAGAGGGCTCGAAAAAGTATAATTCTTCGATGTCGAGGCAGACTTTTAACGAGGATAATATAGCTGCATTAATGGATGCCGGCAGGCAGTGAGCAGCGCCACCCGCCATCGTAGCCGCTTTTGTACACATATATAATGCTATATATATGTAAAAAGAAAGAAATTTTAGGAGTCCTGCTAGCGTGTACCTTTATGGCTCATAGAATTTTTATGTCTTTCGAGGGTTCTCTGTAATGGAGGCTTAAGGTTGAGTTGCTTGTTTGGAATGTCTGCATGCGCGAGTTCCTAGCTTTAGTATATCAGGTGTGCGCATGCATACATGCACGCGTATACAGTATACATCAGCAGCAAAATTTTGTTAATTTTTTGACACGCGCGGACTGCCGTGCACGCGTCGGACGAGAATGCTAAATTTCACTTTGGAATAGCTCCGAACGCATTTCGGCAACCGAACTCGACGGTTAATTGATTTGGTATTTAAGCACGAATATAGTATACTTCGGTATAATTATTCAAGCGCTAAATATTGATGACGACAAATCAGTTGTATAGCATATTTTGTAACAAGTGCGCGAAGCAGTTGACTCATCCAGGAGTTGTTTTCACCCGAGCGTAGCGAGGGTGCAAAGACTCCTGGGTGAGTCAACTTCCTCGCGGACTAGTTGCAAACGATATTTTTTAACTCTGCTTGCGAGAAACTAGGGTTTTCTGACGCTTTAAGGTTAGAAAACCCGTGTTTCGCGCACGCAGTGTTAAAAAAAATATAAGTAACGAAGTTGGAATAAAAAGCCACGACACGATTCCATTTGATCAATTTTAAAAATAAATAAACAATAAAAATGTCTTTGTGTCGTTCGCGGGCAAAGAAAGAATGTGTGTGGCGTACATGAGAAAATGTTTATATAGCGCAGGATACAAATGCCATGAGGCGTTGCAGTAGTATATAGTGCTGCGTCGTCATCGTCGTCGTCGTCGTTGTCGGGTGCGGTGTGCGCTTGCGACGACACACTCGAAATGTCGCAAACACGTTTCTCTCTTTTGTGTCCCCATGCGGGCTAGCAATCAAAAAGTCTTCTCGCGCTATTATAACAATAGATAGCGAAAAAGTAAATGGGAACATTCGAGGAGGCGAAGAGCGAGAAAGAGAGAAAGAGAGAGAGAGAGAAGAGAAGAAATAGAAGAAGAAGTAGAAGAAGATGAAAACAAGACTTTCTCTCTCTCGAGGTTATCTTCATTGAAGAAAGAGTTGGGCAGTACGGCAGTAGCAGTATAAGGAGCTTGCGTATACATGGTCTCAAAGCCATTAGTGAGCTCGTATATATAGTCGTTGAGTTACTCTCTCTCTCTCTCTCTCTCTCTCTCTCTCTCTCTCTCTCTCTCTCTCTTTCGCTATACACTATATATGTACGCTACGCTATTCTCTCATTTTTGTCTGTCTTTTGTCGCAAGCTCGTGGCTTTGTCCTTTGTATTCGTTATCGGCGGTACACCGAAGTCAAGCGGCTCTCCTATATATGCTTGTTCGCAGCCGCAACACCAATTATATCCACTGCACGCTGCTGCTGCTGCTGTTGCTGCCACTGCCGCTACTGTCGACAATGAGGAAAAAGTCAACCACAGTGTATATTAATATATAGCCTTACATGCTCCCCTTTTTCTTTCTCTCATTCTTTCTGCACGGCACGTGTCTCGACTCCTCGACTCATCCACGACCCAGCCTAGAGCTCCTTTTCACCCCCTTCAGGCTGAGCCATGGAGCAGGAGGACAATCCTGCGCAAGCGTTGCCTGCTCGAGAGTAGAGGCGAAAAATTGCGTTGCTGCTGCGCTGGCAAGCGGACATGTACGAGGTTTACACATGCCGCGTCTACGAAGACAGGCTCGTCTGTTCGCACACCGTACCGCTGCAGGGCCAACGGCAATGTAGTATATGGAATCTAAGCGGCTTAGAATTCGTTGCGTTCGCTTCGTTTATTTGCTGCTTTTTTCTCTTTTCTTTATTCGCGCGAGGCACTTTCTACACATGGTATAATTTACAGCTCTAGACGTGTTTGGTGTTTGAAAAGTAATTTAATATTCGATCGTCCGAGGGCCGCGAGGGACGGGTGAAAAAATTGTTGTTCTTGGCTTCTAGCCAATATTGATCGGTCTTTTATATGTCAAAGGTGAATTTTCAAATAAATATTCGACCGATGTTGACCGTACGATTTTCAATCTTTGAGGCATTTTCCTTAGTGCGCGCACACATTGTATGACTTTGTTGTCCGTCGCAATGACGTTATAAATACATCTATACGTGCCGCGTATGCATAAGTACAAATGAGAGGATTAGAAGTGGGCTACTAACCTCGTATCTTTCAATTTAGCCTCGACCGAGCTTTTGTGCTCGAAGCAAAAGTTTGTATACACACACATGAATATACAGCTATAGAGAGACGGCATCGCACGGCCACTTGACCACAATAGCCTCAGCTTTCCGCGCGCGCTCGCAGCGTATATTTTCAAACTCGGCTCGTTTTCTGAATATCAGCTACCATCCTTACGTCTGCGCTTGTACTCTTCGTTCTTATTTTTCCTTCGTTTTATTATACCTCCGCTGCTGGCGCACTGCATTGCACTCCGTATACGTATTCTTTCTCTCTCTCTTGCCCTCTCTTTCTCGTGCTCTCTCTCTCTCTCTCTCTCTTGGGGCTTTTTTTGTAACCCCCCGCATACAGGTATAGAATATATAAAGAAAAACTCGAAGAAAGACGCGAAGATTTTTAGTTTCTGCTTAACTTTTTTGAGCTTCATTGTCTTTTTCTTTTTTTTTCTTTTTTATTTATTTACTTTCTTTTGCTTTATTTTTCAATACCCGAGTATACACTTGTGGTTATTCATTTTCTTTCTCTGTATTTTATTCAAAATCAGAAAGACTGCAGCGCATTGAATCTGGATTATCTGGCTTGTACTCTACTTATTATTCTATTTTTTCAAATACCTTTTTTCGCACGTTTATTTGAAAAAATATATTAACTTAACAATGGTAGACGTCTTCCAAATGAAATTACATTTTCATTATGCTAATGTGTAAAAATGAAATGGAAAATTTTCCATTTTGTATATTGCAAAAACATCAAAATAGTCTTGATTGCGTTGCGGGAACGCGCTCGGGTTGCAAACTTCTCGCTACGCGCGCCTCACAAATCAATAATTCGAGTCGATTTTTAATTAGTCAAAAGTTTGTACGCGTAAAGTAAATATAGAATATTGATCGAGCTCTCTGGGTTATGTACACCCATACGAAACGATACGTCGTATAACTCAGGCAGTGGCAGTGGCAATACTCGAGCTCGCAAGTTGTCTTCTCAAAAGGCAAACGGTCGCTGTAACTTTTGCATGCCACGAGGATATTCACTCCCTGATTGATTTTTGCACGCGCGGGCTCTATTTTAATCGATTTATTTTTCGTGCTCGCGTACTCGAGATGCGAGTTATTTTTAATACTCGCTCGCGTTGGACGATTTTCGAGCAATAATTTTATATATTTTCATATACTCGAGGAGATCATAAAATGCAGCATGGGTGGTCGCAAAGATACGAGGCAGAGGAA